GATTTTGAAACACAAAAAATTCTGATGAGGGTAAGTCGGATGTTGAGAGAAGAACATACCTTTGTTGAGATCAAATTGTTTAATATTGTCAAGTTTTTATTAGGCTGCCAAATTTGGAAAAGGATTTAGCAAAACGATAGATTCGGAATATTATGTTCAAATGTGTAGGATTTTAAGAGTCTTGAATGCAGTGAGGCATCCTGCTGTGGGCATTCCGTTAACATATGCGCAGTATCCTTTTGTATTCAATTGATATATATGTGCAGGATCTTCTTGTACATTCTTCATATTTTCTTTTTATAATTATTGCAATTAAATATTTCTATGGAAATTCTTAATGATACTAGATTTAATATTCTCACGAATCAAGTATTACTAGACCGACTGGTAGCACGGAGACATTATTATTTAAGCATACAAATAGCACGTCACTTGCAATTACCTGAGATTGATGGGGAAAGTAGAATATTAGCACATTGGGCTTGCTACAAAGTAAGATAAATAATACGTGAAGTGATGAAATTTTACGTGCGAATTGGACTAACAAATATATTTTCTTTTTCTACTTTATAGGTGAAACAAACGCAGTTAGATAAGGAACAAATAGCAGAAGAAATTGCTGATAAATTAGGATACGCACCTGGTGTTTCGTATAGCGAAATTGCGAAAAGAGCGGCGGATTGTGGACGAAAACAATTGGCGATTAAAGTAAATCTATTTATATTAATAAATATATTATACATTATATTATACTTTATCGCAGAGAAGAACTATTTATATTATTAACGCCTTTTCAGTTAATTGACTACGAACCGCGAGCGCATCAACAAGTACCTTTATTATTGACACTTGGCGAGGAACGCGCTGCTCTGCATAAAGCCGTAGAAAGCGGTAATACAGATCTAGTCTATACTGTCATTCTTCATCTCAGAGAAAACATGACACTTGGTGACTTTCAAGTAAGCAGTAATATTTTGTTTCAAGAATAAATAATTATATGTTTTTATAATTGATCTTTAATGCAGATGTCTATAATGCATTGTCCTCTAGCAATGGCATTATATATTAAATATTGTCAGAGCCATAATAGAGAGACATTACGTGATATTTATAATCAATATGACGATTTTCATTCGCAAGCGGTGTGGTTTATCACCGAAAGTTATCAACGAAAAGTTAGTACTTAATCTTTTTGCATTTATAATTGAAAACTTTTTTGTAATATAAAGTCAAGAAAATAAAGTACTTATGCCGCACATTTTTAGAATACGATGTCGAGAGACGCATTATTGCAATCGGCTCAGGAAAATTTTAGATTGGCTCGTAATGATACTAATGCGTCGTTAACAGAAGAACAGATAAAATTATTGAAGTATCAGAGATCTTTAGAAGATACGTTACACGAATCGATCGTGGGAAAGCCTTTGCATGATACCGTGAGAATATTATTATTGCGTAACGAGTTGAAATTGGCAGATAAGTTACGATCGGAGTATAAAATACCAGATCGGAGGTAGTGTATACTAATTTTTTTTTTTTATAAAACTTTTACACTTAGTGTATACTGTCTTACATAAATGATATTTTAATACAGATATTGGTGGCTAAGAATACAATGTTTAGCAGAACAAGGTTTATGGAATGATTTGGAAAAATTCTCTAAAAGTAAAAAGTCTCCTATTGGATATGAGGTAACGATAAATAACAAAATGCATTGTTTTTGCATATATATATATATATATATATATATATATATATAAAACTTGTACACACACACGCGCGCGCGCGCGCGCACACGCACGCACGCACGCATGCATACACAGTATTCCAAAAATGTTGGAATACCTGAATATTTGGAAAAATATAAGTTTTACAGAAAAGTGTATCAGACAAAAGTTGTAGGATTCAAAAAAATTTATTTATTGATTTTATTAGTTTGATATTAAGTAGTGTCGCCAAGGTCAGCTCAAGGTTACATCGATTTTTTTAAATGGAACACCCTACTTTTGATTCCAGAATCTAATAGCTGGTATTGATAGCTTTCCAAAACACTGTAATAAAGTTGTTTTTCATTCAGTATTTTTCAAATTATAAGGCTTGAAAGTTACTGTATCGCCGGCATTAGCATTACACAAGATGTTCAATCGACGGCTAAAACTTTTTGAGTGTTAACACAAACTATAGAAATCAAAGCCTTAAATGGTCTAGCTGGATCTTAAATGCTTGTATGATTCTTGTGTGAATTTATATACTATGTAGTTCTTAGAGATGCTTTTGAGTGTTGTTCAGGATCATATCTTAGATAACATTTGTTAAGATCAAGGCCATTGGAGATTTTATATCTCTTATTTTCATTTTATACTAAAAATTCATTTTTACGTAAAACGCTTCTGTTCAGTTAGCATTAGTATTTTGAGTAAATGCAATCAAAGATAACTGTGGGGGAAGGGAAAAAAAAGAAGGGAAAATACATACACAGACACGCACACGCACATACGCACGACTTATAATTCGATTGGGCAATTCCTGTGCAATATACTTTAGATAATGCTAATGCCAGCGGTATTGTAACTTTCAAGTCTTATAACTCGAAAAGTACTTATTAAAAAGAGAACTTTATTATAGTATTTTGAAAAGCTCTTGACACCAACTATTAGATTCTGAAATAAAAAATATAGTGTTTCATTAAAAAAAAGATTTGACCTTTACTTGATTTCGGTAGCGCCATCCAAGGTCAATTTGATAAAATCAGTAAATAGATTATTTTAAATAACCCTACAACTTTTATATGAAACATTTTTCTCAGTAATGCTGACTTTTCAAGATATTTAAGGGGTTCGAGATTTTTTGTATATTCTATATACAGGATGTCCTGAATTTAAATGGCTTTATTTTAGGAGTGTGTAAGGAATCAATAAACTAAGAAAGTTTTTTTAAAGATATGTTTGTTTTTGCTTCGTTTCGGAGGAAATCGCAAAAAAAAAAGACAAAATTTCGGAATATTGTTTTCAAATCAGAATATATTATCATTTTCGTATATGACTTCAGCAATAATGCTTCAGAGGCAGTGCGAGAGTATTTCCAGTTTGCATTAATTTCTAAACAGAAGAGTGCAGGATCAGTGAGTCAATACATTGACTAGATTAGTGTTTGACTGCAACGCTGTCCGTACAAGATACAATGCGTATATTGCTGCAAAAGGCTAACATTTTCAACAATATCTGAATTAAGTAAATGACAACATGAATAAATCAGTGTGAATGAATAATAAATAAGTACAAAAATGAAAACTACGCTTTGTCTTTTTTTTGGTGATTTTCTCCAAAATGAAACAAAAACAAGTATATGTCTAAAGGACTTTTTTTCTTGCAATCCTCTACACGCTCTCGAAGTTTGGCTATTTAAATTCGGAATACTCTATACACATACATACACGCACGCGCAAAAAAACAATCACTAAATTTTAACAGAAATTTTTAATATTTTTGATAACGCTAACTCATCAATAGCGAAAAATAATTGTATTGAGATAAACTAGAGCTCAAATTAAAGCTTAATCATTCCTGATTGAAGATTTTTCTGATTAAAGATTTTGCTTGCTTGTGAATATTCATGATTTGAAGTTTTTTAATTTCTTTTTGGTAAAATTTTCCACAATTCGTTTCGAAGTTTTTTCGAGTTTCCAAGAAAAAGTTGTTCATTTTGTAACTTTCTTTAAAGTATATAACTTTGTTTTAAAAAAAAATCATTAAAAAAAATGTTTAAAATAGATTTGTTTGAAAATAAATGAAATGTTTAAAAACTCATTCACTTTTATGCCTGGCAGTCAATTCCTTTGAACAATGCAATAGTTTGAAGAAACCATTTTTTTTATCTATCTTTCAATGTCCATCTTCAACGTCCGCCATTTTGGAATACATTTTATAATACATTTTATGTAACCCAAATTTGATTTTCATTAAACAGAATGTTCAAACTTTAATTTGAGTTTCGATTAATCTCAATATAATTATTTTTCGCTGAATTACCGCTATTGAAAAATATTAGAAATTTGTGCTAAAATTTAGTGGTCCGTTTTCTTTGCGGATGAGTGTATATAACTATATATGCATCTATTCGTTCGTCGATGCAGTGAAATAATGTTTTAATAATTTCCATGTTTAAGCCGTTTATAGACGAATGCCTGAAGTATAATGAAAAATTAGAAGCAAGGAAATATTTAGTCAAAGTTAAAGATGATCTCAAAGTGAAGTATTTAGTAAAGTTAAAGTAAGTACTTGAAAAAAATACTTTTTTTTTAAAAAGACGTAAATAAGATTTATATATAACAATATGACTATCTACTATAATTCTGCAGTTTGCTTAGCGAAGCGGCACAAACAGCATACGAACAAAAAGACGCTTCGGCTCTCACATTTGTGCTGGCACAATGTGGATCATCAGACAGACAATTTATAGATAAAATCAATATGTTATTAGCTAGTCTTAAAAATTAAGGTTTTTTTTATTTGTTTTATAAGAGATAAAGACATTTATATACAATTCAGATAATATAAAATCTAATATCTGACACGAACGGTGATCTTAAAAATAATTCTACAGATCAAAGAATGTTCAAGTCATTAGCTCACATAGATCCTCTATATAAATTAAATATTTACTTTAAGAAACATATATTCTGCTAATCAATAAAAAAATGTAAATCTATTCAGACATTCTGTTTGTTATGTAATCTGTACAAAAATATGAATGTACATCTGCTGTACTAAATAACGACATTTGTAAATAAATTCTGTACATTTATATTACTTTACAATATTGATTTATATATATATATATATATATATATATATATA